GTTTCTAAAGGCTGCCTGCATCCTTAGGCTCATGACTTCATTCCCCCATCTTCAAATCTCATCACTCCAAACTCTGCTTGGGTCATCACATCTCCTTTTTGTTGACAGTGCCCCCATTTTGCAGACTGGGCAGAGTGAGGCCCAGGTAGGGGAAGGGACTTGCCCAAGGTCACAAAGCTGGAAGAGGGTAGTAGTTTGGAGGAAGAGGCTACATAGGACAGCTGATGGAGTGGGGCACTGGGTGAAAGAGAAAAAGAGGCATGGAGACCAGACTTGGGAGGGAGTCTCAGCTTCCCTTTTGAAGGGACTTCCCCTAAGTGGGGATTTTGATCAGAAAGTTGTAAGCAATCATTCTACCGGTTTGGCCATCCCCTCCGCAAAGGCTCCTAGGATAAGAAAAGAAACTGAAAGTTGGGAAGGGGGGAAGGGGGGAGGGGCAGGCTCAGGGCTGCCCAGATAAACTGGGTTGAATTTCTGATGACCTCATCAAGCTTGGAGGAAGTAAACAGGAGGGCTGGGATTACATGCCTGCTTGCTATTGGGGAGACTGAGCCCCAGAAAGACAGCTCTATTAGATAGTGGCTGGGCCCAGCCCAAATTATATAATCACTCCCAATACACACACACACACCCCTAGGGGAAGGGTGAGGAGAAGGGAGGAATAAAAGCTTGGAACTTTCAGAATCCCTGTCCTTGTGATTTGGTGACTCTTTGGATGGTTTAGGTCTCAGTGAAGGGCCTCTGAGGCACCCCAGTGTCCACACTGGAATTCAAGGCCCCTGGTAGACAGGGAGGCAGCAGACCTGGGTCCCGCTGCCAACCAAACCAGAGCCCAGAGCGCCTCAGGCCCGAGAGAAGCAGCAGTGATTCCTAGAGTCCAGTCCCTTGGAGCCCCGCCCTGCATCTGTCTTGCCTCTTTGTTGGCATCCCTGAGTGCTGTTTCCAAAGCATCAGAACCTTTTCTGGATGTTTCCACGTGACTTAGGACCACCACACTTCTCAGAGGTCCTGAAAAACACCTCCTCTGACCTCACTCACATAACCACTCACCTCTGTGAGTCCATGTCTTCCTCTGCAGATGGGAGCAGGTGTGCGTAAGTAAAATAGTTGGCACAGGACATGGCATACAGTAAGCACTTAATCAATGCTAGCAGCTAGATTATTGGTATCATTTGTCATTCTGACTTTATAGAAACTCCCCAGTGGTCATGGTTCCCCATGGTTCTGCACCTTGGGGTTTTCCTCCCTCCTCTCGGCCGACATCTTCCTAGGCTCCATCCTCTCCTGCCGCCTGTCCCTCTCGTGGCTATGCTCCCCACTACCAAGGTACTTCCAGGGTGCCCTCATGTATCGCTTGGCTCCAGTTAAGCAAGAGACCCAGATTTCCTGAGGTCAGTTCTGACTTAGAACTTTCTGTTTGCTGTCCCTGTAGGGAAGCCTGCCAGACGTTGGGCCCTGGCCTTTGGCTTAGGAAATGTGAGCCCCATGTCTGTGTGCTGGAGCCTGGAGACTTCCGCTGCCTCCTAGATGTTCCCTGCAAACAACAAAACCATTGCTATTGAAAGTCAACACCTACTCATGGTAACCCCATGTATCACAGAGTAAACTGCTCCGTAGGGTTTTCTTGGGTGTAATCTTTATGGAGATGGTTCAACAGGCCTTTCTTCTGCAGAGCCTCTGGGTGGGTTCAAACAGCCAAACTTCAGGTTCAGTGGAAACTTTGCAAATCATTTGCACCGCCTAGGGACCTTAAATGTTCTCCAGGCACCTCAAACTCAGCAACTCCCTCCCAAGTTCTTTTGGCCTCTGATGAGCCCACTTCGGTCAATGGATCTACCTCACTAGCAGACATCCGAAACAGAGACACGGACAGCAGCGTCTTGACTTCTCTCTTCCCTCCCTGTCTCTGTACCCAGGTACTGAATCCTCTCTCTGGGCTCAACCTCTCCCTCCATCCTCATCCTCACATAGACCATTCAACAGCCTCACTTTGTCCTGCTCTAAGATCTTCCCCAACTCCCTGGCCCACCAACTGCCCCCTCCTCCATGCAACCCACAGGCCCCACGTGGACCCTGTGTCTGGCTCTTTCTTTTTCCCATAAGGCACTGCCTGTCTCTTTGGACCAGGAAAGCCCAGAGGGCAGGGACCCTGCGTGATTCACCCCTTACTCTCTGCTATGTATGAACAGAAGAGGGAACTCCAGTAAATCTTTGTAAGTGTGACTCATGGTGCCCAACCCCTCAGTGTATAGATGAGAAAACTGAGGCCAAAGAGGAGAGAGGACTGGCTTAACATCACATAGCAGGAGGAGGCAGACCTGGGGCTATAACTAAGGTCTCCAGGCCCAGCCAATACTCCACAGAAAGAGGTGGGGATTCGGGCTGGGAGCCAAGTTGGGTCAACTCAGGGAGGCACACATTCTCACCCACGGGGATAATCACACAAGCATGACGTAGCCACTCTTCCATCCACACATGCAGAGATAGTCTTTCACACACTCACAGTTACACACCCAAACACTGTCAGACACAGTCACCAGCATACAGTCCCAGGGACAGACAGGCACACACCCAGAGAGTACAGAGTCACCAAGAGTCATCAAGCCTCTCTTTCTCACCCTGAAATACAGCCAAACAAAGCCACAGACTCACACAACCACAAACTTACACACCTGGTCACTCACACACAAACACAGTCACAAAGTCTCACACATAGACAAATACAGAGCAATACACAGTTACACACAGAGAGAAACAGACATAGTCAGTTGCACACAGGCCCCCGGAGACGCAGAACAATGGGCACATTGTCTGGATTGGCAGCAGCTGGGGAGGAAGGAGCTGCCGAGTGGACAGAGGCGGCTGTGGGGGCTGCTGTGCTGCCCCTACCCCCATCCTAAGCCTCTTCTCTCTTCCAGAAGCCAGATTCTGTCAGGACCTAGATTTGCTGAGGAATTAACTGAGCTCTAGGACTCCCTCCCTCAAACTCCTGGGATGTTGGGGGTGGGGTGAGTGCAGGGGCCTCTGTGGACTACCCCTTGGGGCTCTGAGAACTCAGAGTCCTTCAGCCCTGATGATCCTCCCTCCTCCTGGGTATCATCCAGGATTCACCTCTGATCTCCACAGGGCAGCTCCTGGGAATAGGAATTTGAAGCCTTGGGATCTGTACTCAAGCCCTAACTCCATCCTCTTCAGGACTCACACACCCACTCTCTGAGCCCTACCAGCCGGTGAGGGCAGTGCCTGGCAGCATTGTGGGCTCACTGTTGTGGCTGTCACAGAGATACAGGTTATAGCATTCATCCATCCCTTAGTGGCAGCGGTTGGAGAAGTCACTGTACTGTCACTGAGCTGCAGAGTAGGACTCCTAGTCTCAAAGCTAGCTCTCCTCCCTCCCCTGACATCAGGCAGCCCTAGATATCAGTGGGGGATTCTTCCAGGGAGATTTTTACAACTCCTATCCAACTCCTTCTGACCCTCAGCTCCTGACATCTTCTGTGCGCTCTATGGCATGTATGTCACTTTCCCTCTCTGAACCTCAATGTCCCTGACTGTAAAATGAGGGGCCACTAATGAAGGGTACTTTCTCTATAGTCTCAGTGGGGACTGGATGTAGTATACAGGAGTGAATATGGAATGCAGTCACCACCCCAGCCCTTCCCCACAGCTCTGTGGTCAGATCTTTGGGGAGTTCCCGATTTCTCAGACCCTAGAGTGTCTCCATACCTCATAGCCTTGGGCCTCCAGGAAGGCCTTACCTGTGGGAGGGAGAGGGAGGAGCTGAGTTGGCTTGAACAGTTTTTGCAACACTTTTCTTCTGTTAGCCCCAGCCCCTGTTCCTTTCCTCCTGGGGGGCTGAGAGGGGCAGTAGGGCACACACATCCAGGACCAGGAGTCTGGGGTTCCCCCACTGGCCTGGCCACATCAGGGCAAGAGGACGTGGCAGAAGACCACCATTGGAGAGGCTCCAGTCACCCCTACCTGGGCCCTGCCTGCTGGCTCCCTCACTCTCAGGGAAACCTTGGGGGCTGTACTCAAGGGGTTGTCCCCAGGAGTGGTGAAAGCCTGGGTGGTTGGTTTCCTACCCCATCTATTCAAAACCTGGGGTGTTTTGAGGTATGTTGAGTTTCTCTCTGGGGTCTCTCTGCCTGCACAGGGAGCCCTGAGTTGGGGGGAGCATATCTGTGTGTGTGTGTGTGTAGCGGGGTACCAAACTGTAGTCAAGACAAATTTTTGAAGCTCTCTAACCCTCAGGCTCCTCCCTTCAAGGTCACAGGACCACACCCTTCCCCACCTCCACCGGGCTTTGTAACAGGTCCAGGCTGAGGGCAGGAGCTGTGAAGAGTTTGACTGTCCAGGCTCAGCTTGACTGGCTACGGAAGAGGTGGGGGGAGGGATGAGGCACGAGCCCCACCTGCCCGAACAGAAGTGACCCCGAGCAGGTCAGACACCCCCTCCCCCAAAGACTGGCTGTCTCAGGAGGGTAGGGATGTGGGTAGGACCTCCAAAAGGTCTCCAGGCCAGAGGGGTGTGTGACGCTGCAGCCTTGCGGCTTTATGACCATATTTTTCTAAAGTATAACTCAGAAAAAGCCGTCTGACGAGTCTGGGCAGGTGAGCTTTCGAAGAGTTCAAGGGGGCGGCTGCCAGGGGCTGCCAGTGCAGGACCAAAGAGATGCGAGGGAATGGAGGCCACTCCACGGTACTGGGCGCCCACCCTGAGAGGTGTGCGATGGGGATATGGAAAGGCTGATCTCCTTCTTTCCTCTAAGACACCCCAGTCCCAGTTCCCTGAAGGACCTCGCTTTCTCCACCCCACACCGGACACCTGCTCCTGATAGTCGGGTGGGGTGGGGGGACCAGACCGCCAGCGTCTCCCACTGCGCAAGTTGGGCCCGAGACCTGACCCCGCCTCCGCCCCTCGATTGGGCGCTCATTTAAATGCCCGGCCCCGCCCCCGAGCTCCAGGCGCTTATATAGGCAGCTCCGCGGGCGGCGGGCGGCATTCCGGCGCTGAGCGGAGAAGCGGTGGGTGCGGCTAGCGGGTCGCGCGCGGAGAGGGGGTGCAGCCGGGTTTCCCCCGACACCCCTCCCCCTCAGGCACGAGCCCCACCCCTCCGCCGGCCGGGCCTACCCTGCCGAACTATCCCCTGCGGCGCGAGCCTGGGGCGGCTCTGGACGCCCCTGAGCAGACCCCCACCCAGCATGGGTAGCCAGAGCTCCAAGGCTCCCCGGGGCGACGTGAACGCCGAGGAGGCAGCAGGCGCTTCCCCCACCAAGGCCAACGGACAGGTGGGTGAGCTCGGCACGGCCCGACTCGGCCCCTTCTTCTCGCACCTCGCCCCCTCTGGAGCCCTGGGCCAGGGCCGCGCGCTTTGTCCGGCCCGGGACACGCGGCGCCCCCTCCCCCGCCCGGTCCCTTTGTTCTCCGCGCCGCAGCCCCCGCGGGCGAAGCAAGGGGAGGGGCGGGGAGGGGGCGCTGGCCGGGCCCCGCCGCCTTCTTTGTTCCCGGCCCCGGCCCCCGGCGCTGCCCCCCGGCCGCCCCGAGTGCGGCGCGGGGAACAAAGGCGCTACTGGGCCGCGCCAGGGGGGCGCCCAGGGACCGTGCGGCGGGTGAACCGCGGGGAGGGCACCCCGCCCGCATACCTGACCTCTGTGGCCCAAGGTTTTTTTTCTTTTCTTTCTTTTTTTTTAGGAGTAGTCGGAATGTGGGGGGAGCCTGAGGTGGGTGGGTCGAGGGTCGTTTGCTACCCAGCATGAGGCTGGGAGAACAGGCCGTCTCAGGTACACTGAAACAGCGCCCGCAGCGGCTTCCCGCCCAATACCGCCTGGCAGGGATAGACCGCCTGCCCGGGATCCGCGGCCCCGGGCCCTTTCGAACGCGCGGAATAGAGTGCGAGCCTCGGGGGAGGGGGCGGGGGGCCACAGGATCCTAGCGCCTCCTGCTGGCTGTGGCCTCTGTGCGCTCGGTTCCATCGCGCCTTGTTGAGGGGCTGGAGGGAGATGTTTGACGGGATCCCGAGTGTGGGGTGAGGTTAAAGCCAGACTTCCAGGTTGCGATATAATCGAGTCCTGTTGTCCCGAAGGGGTCAGGAGCGGGCTGGGGGAGGGAAAAACCCTCGCTCCTCATTGCTGTCTCCTCTGCCCTGCAGGAGAACGGCCACGTGAAAAGCAATGGAGACTTATCCCCCAAAGGTGAAGGGGAGTCACCCCCCGTGAACGGAACAGATGAGGCAGCCGGGGCTACCGGTGATGCCATCGAGCCAGCACCCCCCACTCAGGCCGCTGATACCAAGGGGGAGGCCCCTCCCAAGGAGACCCCCAAGAAGAAGAAGAAATTCTCTTTCAAGAAGCCTTTCAAATTGAGCGGCCTGTCATTCAAGAGAAATCGGAAGGAGGGTGGGGGTGATTCCTCTGCCTCCTCACCCACGGAGGAAGAGCAGGAGCAGGGGGAGATTGGTGCTTGCAGCGACGAGGGCACTGCCCAGGAAGGGAAAGCTGTTGCCACCCCTGAGAGCCAGGAGCCCCAAGCCAAGGGGGCAGAGGCCGTTGCTGCCTCCAAGGGAGGAGACACCGAAGAAGAGGCAGGGCCCCAGGCTGCAGAGCCATCCACTCCCTCCGGGCCAGAGAGTGGCCCTACACAGGCCATCGAGCAGAATGAGTAGCTGGGTGGGGGCAGGTGGGTGATCTCTAAGCTGCAAAAACTGTGCTGTCCTTGTGAGGTCACTGCCTGGACCTGGTGCCCTGGCTGCCTTCCTGTGCCCAGAAAGGAAGGGGCTGTTGCCCCCTCCCAGCCACGTCCCCTTTCCCTCCTGTGGATTCTCCCATCATCCATCTGGTCTTCCTCTTAAGGCCAGTTGAAGATGGTCCCTTACAGTTTCCCAAGTTAGGTTAGTGATGTGAAATGCTCCTGCCCCTACCTCCTTCTCTGGTCGTCCTCCCCCCTCCCCCCACAGAAAGCAATTGCTGGTTTTCTTCCCCAATTCTTTTCCAAGTAGGTTTTGTTTACCCTGCTCCCCCAAATCCCTGAGCCAGAAGTGGGGTGCCTGCACTCCCAAACCCTGAGTATCTAGCCTTCCCGTTTCAGTTTTTAGTCTCTTGTGCTGTGCCTAGTGGCCCCTGGGCTGGGGAGGACACTGCCCTGTCTAGGTTTTTATAAATGTCTTACTCAAGTTCAAAACTCCAGCTTGTGAATCAACTGTGTCTCTTTTTTGACTTGGTAAGCAAGTATTATCCTTTGGGGTGGGGGGAGGTCTGTAATGTGAAACAACTTGTTTTTGTCTTTTTTTTTTCCCTCCCTCTTGTTGTAAATAACTTTTAATGGCCAAACCCCAGATTTTTTTTTTTTTTTTTTCTAACTGCTAAAACCATTCTCTTCCATCTGGTTTTACTGTAACATTTGAAAAAGGAATAAATGTTGTCCCTTTAGTGGTGGTTTTTAATGAGTGGTCTTCTGGGGTTAGGGTGAGCTCAAATTTTGAGGGAGGGATTAAGAAGAGAGGTAAGTTTGTGGGACTGTTTGTTGTTGAGGGATGCCCAGATCCTCATGGATACCAGAAAGGCAGGAAAGCAGTCTGAATCAATTGAGGGGTACAGATAGGAAACGGAAGCCCAGCAGAATATAGAAATGCACCATTTTATTACAAAGATTCTCACAAACATGAAAATAGTATCTGAAAAAGGAAACTTGACTGTCAACCTCCACCTGTAGATTGAGGGAGGATGGAGGGAAGGCAGTGAGAGTTTTTGGCTCACTTGGGGCCAGACTGCAACAGTGGGAAGGTATCAGAAAGGAGCCAATCTAAAAATGGTTGATGTTACCTTAAAGAGCTTGAAAAGAACAAGGGGCTCCTGAAGGTCCAGCCATCCCTCCAGAACGCTCACTAGCTACCTTTCCACAGCTACTAAGCAGGCACTCTGCATTTCACGATTTTGTCCTGTGACTGCTTAAAAGCATCCTTTCCACCCAGACCTGGCATTTTTCACGGTTCAAAAGCTGGGGAGGCAGGGCAGCTGTTAGAAGAAAGAGTTCACCCAGTAGAGCTGCCCTGGGCTAGGCTCAAGGCCCTGGTTCCTGTCTAGTCCCTGGGGATATTTATATTTAATATATTTTTATATAAATACACAGAGAAATAGAAAATATAAACTCTGAGGGGGTGGGGGAGAAATGTGGGGAACTTTATAAGAAGCTAGAGCTGGAGAAATCTGCTTAGGCCAACTTGACCTCCTCCTTGACCCTGTGGAGAAAGCAGAGACTGGCATGAGATAACCTACCCCAGAGACCTTGAGGCAAAAGTGTGGGTACAATGACTTCCATAGGACTGAGACTGCCCAAACTGCAGGGACAGACAAGACGTCCCTCAAAGAGGCTTTTGTAAAGGACCAACTATCCTGTATTTCTGAGTGGTGGGCCCGTGCTCCAATGCCAAGGGGATGGCAGACTGCTCCCTCCTCACCCTTTCGCTTCAGGTTTCTCCTCCTTGTTTTTTTCTTCATCTGTGACTTCTAGAATACAAGAGTACAGGAATAGCCAGGGGGGCAGCCTTTCTGGAAAGACCTATGGGGTCTGTCTTCATTTACTCTAAAACTCTCTCCCAGCTACACCCAGACATACAAAAGAGAAAAGCCCATCCCAGGCCCTCCCAGTGAGACCTGTAGAGAACAAACAGGTTGGACAGGTTTTCCAACCTGCTAGAGCCTGAACCCGGTGGGCGGAGACAGCCCCCTGGCAAAGGGCTTCAGTGCTATATGAGAGCAATGCCCCGAAGAACATGGAGAACCCAAGCCTGCCAGTCCCTGGCCACAGAACCTGAAGCTCAGTCAGTCAGTGGGGACAAGTCAAGTTTCATTCTTTTGTGAGCTTTGCTACTTCTAGGAGCCCCTGAAAGGCCCAAGGAGCTGGCAGGGCCTGAGTTGGTTCCCTCCTCCCAGTGTCCTACATATATTCATCCTCCTCCAGGGCCCTGGGCTTAAGACCTAAGTCCTGGCCCAACCTACCTTTCTTCTCTTCTGGGTCTTTCTCCTTCTCATCCTCTATTTTGACTCTCTTGGCTTTTTTGAAGTTGGAAGAGTTCTTGCGGCCACCCTCTCCCTCCTCATCAGAATCAGAGAACTCTTCTTCACAAGCAATTCGTTTGTCAGAGGAGCAGACTGGGAGACAGTGGAAGGGTATGAGAGAGGAGATTCTTCATGTCAAAGTCCCTGCCCAGTGCTTCCAAGACACATCAAGAGAAGGAGGGGGAAGGAAAGCATACTCCCTAACCTATTCCTACCAGTACAAGACACAAGAAACTTGGGCTTCTCAACAGACAGGTAGCTCGGGGGGAATGTGGAACCAGGAAGGGAAGGGAAGTCAGAACTGCCTATTAAATGGGAAGGAATGGGCCTCCAGGTCTGGGTCTTACTGGAGATACGTTTGTCAGGGTCCTCTTCATCCTCATCACCACTTTCCTCTGGGATGGAGTCCTCAGGAATCACCTGCATTTGGACCCCAGGTGCATGGGGCAACATTCTCAGGTTCTCAAATAGTCTCTGTCTGTGGCAAATGGGAGAGTAGCTAGGCTTTGGTCAGAGACAAACCAGGGCCTGGAATGTTCAATCAATCAAGGAGAGGTGGGGAAGGCACTCACTTGATCTTCTCCAAGTACTCATTAGTGTTCTGGTTGGTCATATTGGAAGGACTGATGTGAAGTTTGAAATCTGGTCCAAAGTATTCAAAGTAGTCATTGTATGGAAGTTCTGATTGGGACAGGGAAGAAGAGAATCAGGGGACCAGGCACGTTTCCACCACTGGACTCGGAGCAAATCATAGGTTTCTGGAGACCTGTTTGCCCATCTAGCAAATGCAGAGAAGACTGCTTCCAAAACAGGGTGAGACATGGGTGAGTAAGGGATTGCAATCTTTTTAATGTTATTCCCCTGAGTCCACAGCAGTGAAACAGGTGGATGGACAGACATATATAGATCACTACTATGAGGCGAAAGCCCAAACCCCCAAGTGGTCCCAAGTTTAGAAAACTTTAAGCAATGCTCACTATAAGCACTCCTTACCCCAGTTACTCTGCAGAGCAGAAATTCTAAAGCTGTAAATAATCAGCAATAACTCTGTCCAGACCAGAAGCAGGAAGAAGGGACAGATCCAAAAAAGACTCAGGAGAAAATAATATCTATGGTTTTTCGATCACAAGAGGAGAGTCAAGAGAATAAATAGCTTAGTATCAAGAGAAGAGGACATATGACCAATAGGAAAGGGGCTGTGAAGCTTGAGGGCATGTGAGCTCAAGCTCTGACCAGCCCAACCTGACCCTGGAGCTGTTACCGTTAGGAATATCTGTGCTCAGGGCCACAGCTGTTTCGTATGTCCAGCACCGAGCGACATTACGGATGGTGTAACCACCTCCTCCCAGCATCAGCATTGGTAGGTTGAAATTCCTCACAAACTCCACACACTTGGCGTGCCCTTTGGTGGAGAAAGGTTGCTGGATTAAAGGAGAACTCAGCAGGACCCTGCCACCCATTCCTGTGCTACTTGGACTCACCTTTGATAGTCAAATTGAAACAACCTAATCGATCCCCAGAAAGGGAATCAGAGCCACACTGTAAGACGACTGCACTTGGCTGAAACATCTCCATTACTTTGGATATAACCTGAAAGGACACATCACTAGTCATCACTAGTGCCATCACTAGTGGTCATCACTAGTGCCAAGAAAAGCTGTGAGGTACAGGGGTAGAAAGGCTGGTTTCACTTTCCCCTTAACTTTCTGTTCTACTCTGCCTCATGCTGGGTGATGGAGCAAAGGGAATACCAAGCTGGAGTTCTCATTTACCCATTTTGGGTTTCAGTTTCCCAATATGACAAGATCTTTAAGATCATTCTAGCTGTAATAACTCTGAACCTAGAATGGCCTCCTTGTCACTTCCCTAAATGTTTTTTCTTCTTTCACCATCCAAGCATTAGTGCTACTTCCTCTAGGAAGCCTTCCACACCTTTAGCTGCATGTGCTCTAGTCATTTGGTCCTACTGTCTTTGAGCCTTACATTTTGAAGAAATGCTTCACTTTTAAATATCTTACGCTCACAACTAAACTCTGACTTTACTGAGAAAAAAGATTAATAACTTAGGCTTCTCTATCACTCTTACTGCTGGACACATAGTGGGCACTTGGTATTTGCTGGAAGACCACCTAATGTATTAGGCTAATACTCTGTATTGTTCCTGCTGTTGATGCCACTCACCCAGCCCATACCTCCCTCACATGCTTAACTCTTCATTTTTCAAAGTCCAGCACAAATGTCACGACCTCTGTGAAATCATCCCTGAAACCGTCTCCCCATCCCAGGGAGCAGCCTGTCTCTTGTTCCTCTGTTTATCCTTCAAAAAGAGTACTGACCACACACTGTTGAGTAAGAGACTATGAGGTGTCCAACGGCAAAGATGTCTTAGATATTACTCTATCTAGCAGAGCGCCTGGCCCCTTCACCAACAAATATTTGGGCTAAATTTTGTTCCCATAATTGACCATGTAGAACATAACTCGGGGCTGACACACACCTCATTTCCAACCAGCCTCTACAGTGCAGAGAGGGTCTAAAGTATGCTAGGGGTGCTATGCAACTCCTCCCCAGGACCAATCCTCTGTCTGTAGCCCAAAGGCTGGAGAGACAAGTCACTTACCGGCCTGAAAATAGCCTCGTAGGACTCATCATCAATCCCATCTCGGAGCGGGTAGTTAACAGCATAATACTTGCCTTTTCCAGCACCAATATCCTAATAAAGAGGGACAATGGAGTAAAACTGAAAGATGAAGCTGGGAAGTTCAAGGACGGGGACTGAAAAGCTACGGAAAGAGGCAGTGGTTCTGAGAGAGACAAACTGGGCCCATGAGTGGACTGGGGACAGAGCAGGGGTCCCTTGGTCAATACCATTCCCATCACTAGCAAATCTACTTCTCTTCAGATCTGTGGATATACCACTGAGCCTGCACCTGACTGAGAGCTATTTATGAGCCAGATACTGAATACCCTACCCATGGCATAAGGTTTCTAGCTTTGGTTTGGGTTAGAGCTGTCTGATGGCTAGGTCACAGAAATAATCTGACCCCCAACAATCCTGTCCTCCCCAAAGAGCTTTACTGTTCACCTCTCTACCCGCTATCTCTCCTCTCTAGGGAAAGGCAGAGGGGAAGCAGAGAGGGAAAAAGAGTTTGTCCAACTGACTTCAAAATTATAAATAAATGTTCAGTCACTCTAATGCTTGCCACAGTAAACAACTGAGTTGGTACCACTTTTTCACCCAAGGGCTACTGGCACAGCAGAGTGGCTGGTTTCACTGTATTTAGTCTAAAGGAAGCAGATGGAACAGTTCAATGAATTAGCATCCAAGGATTCTTCCCCTGAGGTCCATGGATAAACTTACATAAAGGGAT